TCTAAAGCTACTTCTTCTCCAAAAAAAGCCAAATCAAAATCGGCCAAGAAGGCCAAATCCCACAAATAATTCATGTCCCTGCCTCCTATGGGTGCTTGGAATGTGAGGGGGTTTAATAACCCGGGTAAAGTTAAGATGTGCGAATATCTTATTTCTATGTTTAATCTGAAGCTTATTTGTATTTTAGAAGCTAAAATACAGTCTGATGCTCTTCATAATGATTGGTTCAAATACACTCATTCTTTATTTGAGAATGAGAGCAGCTGTCATAATTTCAGTTCTTCTTCCCCTGGCCGAATCTGGGTGAAATGGGACTCCTCCTCTCTTCTTTTCAATCCCATTTTCACCTCTTCTCAGGTTATTCATGGTTCTATTAATTCGGGCTGCTTGCCCCTTTTTTACCTCACGGTTATTTATGCGTCTAATTTTGCTGAAGAAAGGAAGGAGTTATGGGACTCTCTTTTGAACATTGCGGCTTATATGGATTCTCCTTGGGTCTTAATGGGAGATTTTAACTGTCATAGATTTGATGAGGAGAAGGCTGGTGGTAACCCTTCTTCTAGCTCAAGACGTGGTGAATTAAATTCCTTTATGTTTGACTCTGGATTGCATGATCTCAAATCTGTTGGTCTGCTGTACACTTGGTTTAATCAGAGATCGGATAATCCTATATATATCAAATTGGACCGTATGCTGATTAACTCTTCTTTTCTGGATCTTTTGCCTTTGGCTTATTATAAAGTGGATTCCCATTCAGGCTCTGACCATGCTCCTATCATTCTTTTTGCCAATACTCATAAGAAGGGGGCCTCTAGATTCATGTTTAAGGAATTCTGGCTTAGCTTTGATATCTTTTGGGACGAGTTGCTCACTGCTTTTGATAGGCCTCTTGCTGCCTCCCCAATTGCTTCTCTTTATGATAGTCTTGCTTCTCTAAAATGTGCTATTAAAAAGAAGAATTGGTATTCTTCCAATTATCTTTCTAACAACATTCTGCATCTTAAGAATCAACAAGCTTTATGCCTAGAGCAACTTCAAAGAGATCCTCTTAGCCCGGAACTGAACATCAGACTTAAGAACACTAATGAGCAACTGCCTTCTACCCATGTTGCTTGGTCTTCTTGGATCTCCCAAAGAGCTAAGGCGTATTGGTTGTCACAAGGAGAGGATGATCTTGGCTTCCTGTTTGCCAAGATCAGAGCTAGAACCAATAAGAACATGATTAAAGAGCTTGCTTCTGAAACTGGTCTCCTTACCACCCATTATGAGATTTCTAAGGCTCTTGTGGACCATTTCCAGTCTCTTTTTAATGCAACGGCCCCTCCTCTTCAGAATTCTTACAACATTCCGACTGGGAACACTGTCCCTTCTAATGCTTTAGATGCTTTAATTGCTCCTATTACTAATGATGAAATCAAGAAGGTGGTTTTTGGGGGAGTGGCTTCCTCTGCTCCTGGTCCTGATGGCTATTCTTTTGCTTTTTATCAAAAAACCTGGCTGATATTCGGGAATAGACTTTGCTTGGCTGTTAAGCACTTTTTCTCCACTGGGCTTATGCCTAGAGGGGCCAAATCTACGGTCATCACTCTCATCCCAAAGGGTACTCATTCTAACTCTATATCTGATTATCGTCCTATCTCTCTGTGTAATGTTTTTTACAAGATTGTTGCCAAGATTATTGCTAATAGGATGAAGCCCATCTTGCCCTTAATTATTAACAAATGCCAGTCTGGCTTTGTTGCTAAGAGAAGTTCTACTGATTACATCATTCTTGCTTCCAAGATACTACGAGACTTCAGAAGTAGTAAGGGATCTTTCTGTGCCAAACTTGATGTGAGAAAAGCTTTTGACTCTGTTTCTCGCTCTTTCTTGCTACATAGACTCATTCAGAAAGGTTTTCCGGACATCTTTGTTAACTGGATTAAAGGATGCATCACTGATGTACATTTCTCTATCTCTGTTAATGGGGTTTTAGAAGGATTCTTTAATTCTTCTTTTGGCTTGAGACAGGGATGTCCCTTATCTCCTCTTCTGTTTTGTATTGCCATGGATGCTCTTTCCTCCTCTTTGGAGAACAATCTGGTTTCTCACTTTCAAGGCATACCTAATCGTAATTGTAATTTAAGCCACCTGATGTATGCTGATGATCTTTTGGTATTTGGGAAGGCCTCTAGGGATAACTCCCTTGCTCTCAATGATATTTTGCATTACTTCTCTAAGGTTTCTGGCCTTTTTATTAACCCAAGTAAGAGCACTTTGATTTTCTCTAAAAATGTTAATGCCACGCTTGTCTCTACTTTGGCTGGATGTCTTGGCATTTCAAATGTGGCTGAGGTTATTACTTATTTGGGTTTACCAATTTCGGCTAGCAGACTTCGTATTTCTCATTTTCAACCATTGATTGATAAAATTGCTGGACTTCTTGAGGGCTGGAAGATTAAATTCTTATCATTTGCGGGTAGAGTTCAGTTTTTAAAGTTTACTATCAGCAATACTATTGCTTACTGGATCCGGGGAAGTATTATCGCTTGATGTCAAAACCAACATTTTGACTATACTTCTTAGCTTCTAGGAGACTCTTATTAAAGAATAATGATCTATTATAAAAGAACGAATTCTTGAAATCAGATCCAAATCCTTCAGACCCCTCTAATTCCACAATGAAATTTATTATCTGTAGTTCATGTCTACTATATTATATTTTAACTTCATTAATTATTATGAAGAGGTAATGGATGATATATATTATAATTATTTCAACTGAGTCAGGCCCTATAATTTTTCCCTTTTTGAGTTTTCCTATTAAAAATATCGATGTCTCTTATAACTCTTCTTTTATCTAAGTTTGCTAGATCTTCATACAATGTTAAGATATTAAACATATTCTCTCTTATGTTATGAATATTTTACCACAAAATATTAATCATTACTTTTACACTGCTTTCTTTTTTCAACCAACAAATAGCCACTAAATAAGAGAGGTCATGAAAAGTGAAAGGATAATACAGCCGAGCGAGAAATAAAAATTTAGATATGTCTAACATTACGAAAAAATAGAGCTATCACAACACAAATTTGAACTTTTCCCGGCAGTTTTCCCGCCACAAATTTGCATGCATCAGTTTTAAAATCGTTGGATGCTCGCCTTGATTGCAATGCGCTGAATAAGTTTTTAAACAAAATTCATTTAATTATAACATACAACTCATTCAATAAGCACCGTAATAGCCCATATATAATGGCCATAAATGATTGAGCTTAATACCTCAAGAAAAATGTCACAATAACTGACAAAATATCACAAAAAAAATAATAACAATCAATTTTATGCTTGTGCAATCATATCAAATTGCAAAACATGATGAGTCATATATCCTTGATAGTAACAAGAAATCAAAATGGTAAGATTCTTTCATATTATCATATAACTCTCACTGACATCAAATGATTTCACAAATAATTTTACAACTAATAGTCAAACAAATTTTTAGTTTTTAGTTTTTATTTTTTTTAACAGACTTTTTAGTTTAAGAGTATTTAATCATGTGAAATAAATAAGTGGCATTCAAGTCTCTTTAAAAGGCTAGGATGACAAGGCTTCCTACAAATCAATAGAAAGCTAGGAAGCAAAGGATGGCAAGGCTTCCTACAAATCAGAGGATATTTGACAGTGACTACTATTTTGACAGAAAAATTTCTTAAAGATTCCATTGGAAGCTACAGTTTGCTTCCAATGTCCATGTGTCAAGTATATAAGAAGAATTATTTTGTGCGGAGTGCGGAGGGCAGGAGACCAATAAAAATATGTCACATCACTTTATTAGTGGGTACCCAGCTCGGTACCGCTGGGGGTATCCAGTGCTTAACTGGACGGTTCTCCCGTCCGGTCTCCGCACATAATAAAAGCTCCAAGTATAAGGCTCAACCATTCAATTGAACTCAATTTGTAATATAAGATTCTCACATTGATAGGTGGATGAAATAACCAAGGTCGGCTTCAACAAGAATACTGGGGGATCATTTTGATTGATTGTAGTAAGGAAATTTATTTTAAAAGTTGTTATAGCTGTTATATTTAGTTTTGGCTCAACTTTTTGTGTTATTTTTTTTTTTTTTAAATTATGATGAAAACTAATGAGTTTTTCACAACTAGATTTTCTACAATTTCTAAAAAAAATAATCCAAAATAATTCTATAGATATTTTTACAGCAATCACAATCATCCCAAATAAAAAAAAATAATAATTTTATAAGTTTAATTGTACCATTTTTTAGAGAGATTTGTATGCATAGAAATCATTTCATCTTCTATTTCATGTCGAGTAGAAGGAAATGAAAGACCTAATGGATTACATAACAAGTCAATGCAAATAGTGCTATGTGATACCCTCGAAGCTTGTTGCTAAATTTCAGAAGAAGAAAAAAGATTCCATTCTAGCAGAATATCTAAACAACGATCTTTTATCACACAAATCCATATAAGCCTTGTATGCTATACTTGCTATGGTTAGGTTACTCAAGGAATGGAAAGAACACAACAATAAAACTACACAAGAATTTCAACTGAATCCACAAAAGACTAGTAAAAAAAAGAAGATGATGAAAGCATTTCAAATTAAACCACAAGCTAGACATAGATGGAATAGGGCTGCAAGCTCACACTAGCATGAGAGCTCGTGATTGGAGACAAACCGGCCAAGAAGATGAATAAGTAGAAGGGTGCGACCGGGATGAGCGAGTGGACGAGGGCTTCGACACAATCTTTCGCTCAGAGTGAAGGCTTAAGGGTCCAAAATGCACGGAACAAGAGGGAAAAGGGAAGAGGGAATTAGGGTAAGCCGAGAGTGCCAAATCGCGTATAAGATCGGGAAGGTGGAGGGATTTTAACATCGATCGAAACCAGTGTTATATGCACCAGTAAAAACCGGTCCAAATAATAGCGGTTAAAGCCAGTGCGAAATGAGGGTTCTCACAGCAGTTTTGTCCCACTATGTGGGGTCGGCTACATGAATCCTTTTTCGCCATTGTGACCAGTTAAAAGTCATGAAACAATATCTTCCTTAGAAATCTAAATGAAATTAAGTTTATCTCGTATATACGACTATCTGATTTCATTAATAAAACATTTTATGTTTCCCCGCCAAAGTCATAGAAAACAAAAACTACTAACTATATATCATCATGGAGGATGAAATCATCTCTTTATATACTAGCATAATTATTCAGGATCAGAATTGAGATACTGGAACCACTCTTCACCAGCCTCCTCTACAATTTCACAATTCATAGATTCCTCACTCTCTAAACTCTCCTTCCACGAGTCCTTCATCATTCCACTTGCAGTCCTCAACCTCCTTTCGTTTCCAGAGCAAAAATTGAAAGATCCTTTTCGAGCTCTATTCGCCTTCTTCGGTAAGCTTTTCTTCGTCTTGCTATGAGAGCTCATGTGTCCTCCAAAAGCTTGAGCATTTGGGAACTCATGGCCACGAAAATGAAAAAAATATTATATGAGGATACTGTAACAAAGAATTGATTAGGATTGACCTCAAAGTTTTAGAATTTACTTCAGATAAATGTAATATACGAGTAATTTGTTTGACAATACTCAGTTCCCTTTAAGTATCAAAAACAATATCAATGTGAGAAGTAACTTACCAAGTGCAAGGTGCAACCACAATTCTATCACAAAGCGTGTCATAAGTCTCCAGTAACTTCCCATCCCAGTAGCGATCTTCAAAAGAGACAGTCATCCGAATCCTCCGAACAGTTTCATCTGGACATCTCGAAGTTTTGTCAAAGCAGGCAGGCATTACTGATCCAGAAGAAGTCTCAACCTTTCAAATGCATTAACATGTAAAACTTTTAACCACATAATTGAAGAAATATAGCTTGAAAAATGATGACCCATCATCATCAAAAACCTTAAGACCGGGAATGAATAATAAACAATCTCATATGATATGTAATGAGGGCCGGAGGTAATGAATAACCGCTTGGAATGATATGCCTTCCTCCTGATTGATTGCTACCATTGATCAGCTGCAATTATAATCAAGCAGCCATGGAAGCTGGAGCTTAAGTATTTCACTGCTGGAGAAAAAAGAAAGGACAAATACAAATGATGGCAAGTCAGGCTTGGATGGGTTTGTCCTCAAAGCTACTGATCAGATGAACCTGGATTTGAGTAGATATTTGAAATTCAGTCACTGGACAACTACACCAATCAAACTCATCAAGATTACTAAGAAAACTTGAGAAAAGATAACAAAGACATTCATCCAAAGCTGCATCGACATCAATATCAACAACTAAGACAACATCTGTGTTAGGCCCATGTCAACAACTTTTACAAAATCCATATGGCTGATGGAGATCCATATGATAGATCAATATCATGTGTTAATACATCCATCAAAATCGACCAAGTATTTCAAAGAATATAGCAGTTTTTATACTGTAGTTTAATATCTTCCTTACATTTTAGTATTCCGGTTACATATAACCAGACCGACGCAAGTTGTTGCTTCATCTGTTCCCACAAACTACAAGAGAAAAATCATGTTGAATTACTATAAACAAAATTTGATGCATAAAGCGAAAACCAAAAAAGACTACCTTCAAGTTCAATCCTTGCGTTAGAATTCAAGAGAAAAAATTTCTTAAGAACAAAGGAGCAATATTATAGAAGAGGACTTCAAAATGAGTCAATGAGAACACGAAAAAAAGTTTAATAACACCTAGACTGGAAACCGCTAGAACACAAAAATTTATGAGAGAGAGAGAGAGAACAAGAAAAAAATTTTTGGCCGCCAACTCTAATTCAGCCAGAACTCTACTGCCGCATATCCATAGCATCTTCCCATATATCATAATCCCAACTATTTGAGGCAGTGTTGTTAAAGTGTGGTTTAAAATCCAAACATTGCATTATTGCAATGTCATCAGCGGGAACTTCGTTTATGAATCATGGTTTAAAAGAGCATGCAATGCACCGTCAAGCATGAAAACACATGTGAAAATAGCTAATGTTTCGCTACGGCTTTTGGTTTGATTCAGATTCTGGTTCATTCGACGGTTTATTGAGATATAATAAAAGGGAGGGAGAAACTTAGGATTAGCAATTGCGGAAGCCTATCTATTATAGCACACTTGTGTGTTCTGACTCGATTTATAGCAATGGCATTTGACTTCATCTTCACGAGCAGCACTCAACTACGTCTCTATTAGCAGCACTCGTCTCCATTTTTGTCAGCAACGCTCGTCTTCATTGATAGAAGCGTCATCTTGGTCTTTGTTGCATCATTTGTGCGTCCATTTTGCTTCCTCCAGTAGAAGAACTCGTTGCTTGACCATTTCTAGCATTTGACTTGCTTCGTTGAGGCCTCGAATTTCGTGCTCGATCATCTCCTCGGTCACTAATTCATAAGGTCATTTTTAACTAAATCAACACTAAATAGTAAATATTATTTATGCATCATAGTTCTCTACCTATATTTCTAACATTTTTAAAATCAAAAGAAAAATTTATATGAATAAGAATGCTTAGGTTGAAAGACTCCTATTTGTTCGTTATCTTTTGAAGGACATTTGTTAGAAAATTTACTTCATATGATTAGTTGTAAAATAATGAAAGTGTTATGCATTGAAGTGATTTTTTTTTACTTTTGTAGCTATATATATTTTCTAAATATCATATGAATTTAATAATTTTTTTAATATTTCAAATAAATAAATTACATTTTCCATATGAGAATTTTTGGAAGAATATTTTCTCATCATTTCTTAAGAAGAATAGATTTATGCCAAGTATATTGTTTCGATTGTAGTCTCTATAAATTAAGTATTAATAAAATCAAAATGTTATTTTGCATTTAATTAGTATGAAAAAACAATATGGACCGGGATCTTTTTGCTTCTATTCTTTGATCTATTTAATTTAAGAAAAAAAATTATAAATTGTTAGGAATTGGTCCAATTTTAGGATGGTTGATTCCTAGGCTCATTTTATCCTAATAAGTCTTTATATATAGAGAGGTTGTAATAGGCTTTTACAATCCAAGCCAAAATAAATAAGATTAGTTTTTGTTTTCTATCTCCCCCTCTCTCTCCCTCTCCCTCCCTCTCTCTCAATCCAATAAGAACAAGAAACTCCCCTCCTCAAGAAATCCCAACATAGATAATGCACCAAAATATATGGGTCTTATTTTGTTGAACATTTATGCTAAAGTTGAAATTTCTATTATTTAAAGGAAGTTAATTTTAATGTAAGATAGTAAATTCAGTTTTTACCTATTTTGTATGAAAGATATGGCTGATTCTAAAAATGAAAGCAAGGATCTGGCTTGAAAGTATAGGAAGTTAATATTTGAGTGAAATACTTGTTGCCAAATATGTATTAATTGTGATAACGAGACAAATGGAGATACATCTCATGCCAATGAGCATCTTATTGGTCCTTCTGGAACATCCAAAAAAAATAATGTGACTAAATTCAAGAAGATTCCTTCAAATGTAAAGAAAGAGTTAGTTGTTTGACAACAAGGAACAAAAAAGTTGAAGCAAAATTTATGTTAATATACTAATAGGGTGATAGAGACTAGAAAAAAGAATATATTTAAATGTTTGTTCACAGTGGAAAAAGATCATTCAAATCAAGTTATGGAACAGGAAGTATCAATTAATTTATCATAGGGTTAAAATTCCTTAAGATGAAAAATCCTATAGAACATTTCCTATATCTAGAACCTTAAGAAGAAGTTTAAAAACTTAAATATATATGTGCTAAAGGTAAATCAAAGAAAATTTAGAGGAAGAATTAATGGATGGAATCACATAATATATAGATAGATGTTTCATCCACAATAGAAGAGCATCAACATAAGTCAATCGCAAGTGGTCTAAGTACAAACAAGAGGTTCATCCACAATGAAGGCTAGTGCGTCTTGACCTACATCTATATTTGTTGTTATAATGAAAGAGCAGATGAGATTAACTCTTAAGAAAAATATTAAGTTCTTGAAAAAAAGAATTCTATCTAAAGGATACAGAGATTATATTAATAAAAGAGTTTATAATGACTAACTATTTTTCTAGAACTTGTTAAATGAAATTTAATATTTTATGTATTTAATGTTATTTTTTGCAATGAATTAAATATATTTTATGCAATTTTGAAGTTCTATTATTTTACATCAAGCTACTATGCTACTTTTAATCTTTTGTTAATTCCTATGCATGACAAAATTTGTTAAAATTTTCAATTTGCAAGTTCACATTTAAATTTTGACTTCTTAGATATGTATATCACATTTAACTTCAAATTTATATCAAGTTATAAGTTATTTATTAGATAATTTATATTTTACAATTGCTAGTAAATGTATCATTATATATTTTTTTAAAGTACTACTTGATGTTTAGGTTATTCTAAACACTTCTATTGCATAGTCTTATTGCATCTATGAGCTCCATATTAAAAATTATGATGATCATCATGATTAGTAAGTAGTGATTAGAAAGTAACATTGCATTAGAAGTATTAATTCAATAGAGATCCATGCATCCTAAAAGAAGTCTAGAAGAGAATTTAGCTTCTTTCAACATAATCAAAATTGTTAAGGAGGTTCATCAATTATAAGGGTAATCAAAATATACAGATGAAGTAGAAGGAAAAGCTCCACTGAAAAATTCAATACATGTCCCAGGCATAGTTGGCGACTAACCAAGCATCAAAACTTAAACTAATTTTGAATTTCATGAAAGAATTTGAAATCTAAATTGAATGATACATGCACTGATGATGATCATAAATACCACTTGAAACAAAACAATTCTTCATGTATAAGAAAATAAAAAAGATCGCTGAAAAAATTTGATGAAAAGCAAGAATGGATCCAATTCCATCAAAATTCTCTTCACAATTACAAAATCCATCCTTGTTATGCAGGGTATGGAGAAAGTTTAAGTAGTAGGGGTAATATTGAGTCAAGTTCGAGTGAATCAGCCTCAAGTTACATAAATAGTTTGAATGACTCAAGCAAAGTTCAGCTTGAGTAGAAAGCAATTGATTTTAAGCTGATTCAAATCTCTCTCTCTCTCAGTTCACACACACGCGCGCACACGCACACATATTGAGTCAATTTCCGGAAAAATCAAACTAACATCAAACGAGCCGTCTTTGAGTTGAAGCAAATCTTTTTCAACTTACTGCCAACTAAAATTAGACCTATTAACGAGCAAGCTTTAACTTTCCAACACAATTTCCAACATAATTATCATCCCTAGCAAGCAGCATTACCTTAAATTACCCAAATTAGGGAGACTTTTTGATTTTTTGAACTCAACACCTCCAATCAAGATGGAGGTAAAAAACCATGGTTCCATGCCCACACTCTATCCAAACCCCTACTGCACAAAAAAAAAATAATAATCGCAATATCCTCTCGGAAGGACAGATAAAAATAAAAACGACGGGCATCTAAACGCAATTATGATACTCTCGCTGGAACACATACAAGTACTTGGCTGGAGAGAACGGGAATTTTTCTCCGGCATCGCCTTGAGGCGATTTGAAGCTGCGATAAGCGTCGGATGTTCAAGCAGAAAAGAGCTCGCTACCCTAATCGTAAAAGAGCCGAATCGAAGTAAGTAACGAATTAACATTTCTTAAAGGCAAGAGGAGGAGAAGGAGATGAAAACCTTAAGAGAAGGGTCGGTGCTCGTAAGAGGAAGGCCATCGACGTAGATCATGGCCCTTTCGCCGGCGGCGAAGACGCTGGATGCGTAGCGGTGTGAAGCGACCGTCGCAGTTGAGGCGTGAGAAACGAAGAGGCTTTGATTAAATTTTTAGCAAAATTTTTAAAAGAATAATTTTAATTAATTGACTTAACAACTGCTTTACTTTTTCATATCCCAATCACATTTTCCTTTGAGAACTATTTTCTTAATGCTTCAAAAAAAATATAACAGAAAATTATTTTTTCTGTTGTCCAATTAAAAAAAAAAATACTTGTATAATGTTTATATGAACTAAAAGAAAGCTACATTTATCTTAACAGTTTCATATCTATCTTCATAAGAAGCTGAGGTAATCTCAAATAAATTTTTACAGCCAATTTGAAATAGTTTTATGATTTATAATTTTCAGATTGTACTTTTCAGAAATGTTTATCCTGAAAAACTATATTTTAAGATTGAATTTATTATAATGTGTTTAAATGAGTTGAAAAAAAAAAAAAAAAAATGGAAACACAATACATATTTGTTTGGAGTGTTTGTAATTTTTTTATAAAAAAGATTTTAAAGTTGTTACAAAAAAATAAATTTTTAAATATTGTAAGAATTATAAATATGATTTTAAAAAAATAAATAATAACTTTTTTCACTACCATACTTGATTGCAAAAAACATCTTCTAGTCAAATTTTTTTTGAAAAGTAATGAAATAATAATAATTAAAAAATTAATATTAAAAAATTATATATATATATATATATATATATATGCCAATTTTTAGTGGACAACTATTTTTTCTTCTACTCCATTATTTAATAAAAATAAAATCAAATTCAAGAAAAATAAAAGCAATGCACATTCCAAATTAATTCAAATATTAAAATTCACTCTGCTCTCCTAAGAAAAATTTATTACACCAGAGCCTTCAATGCAAATACATACATGCATATAATGACCAAATTCATTCCCTATCTAAATCAGATTTTCCTCACAATCCTTTCCAAATATTTCCTTCTAATTCCTCTCTCCATTCTTTCCTTATTTAACAATCTCTTATTTTAGTTTCAAACTCAATATATACTACTCTCTTCTCCTCCTCTCTCTCTCTCTCTCTCTCTCTCTCTCTCTCTCTCTTCTCTGCTCTTCCATATGTTCTATAAGTACTGTAAACTCCAATTTCCATTGCTTCTTCTTCATCTTCTTCAAAAATGAGAAGTATCTATCAACATAAAGGATATTTTCAAATCAAATTCAACTGCATGGCATGTTTGTTCTTATTGCAATTAGATTTATTCAACTTACATGCATTGGGAGCCACTAACTCAAATAGGAGGAGATTGAGGAGATGAGAAGGCAATATAGAAAGAAGCAAGCATAGAGAGGAACAAGAAGGCGCAGCTATGGCTGTGGAGGAAAGCTCTGTGAATTGGAACTTACTTTGGGTAATGGTGATGGTGGGTTGGATTTGTCTTTGAGGTTTTGAGGTCTATTCGATAGCGTTGGAATTTATTATATAATATTGAGTGTCCCAATTGCATCATATATTATATATATATATATATAACATTTTTAATATTTATTGTTTCGTTATTATTATTTCATTACTTTTAAAAAAAAATGATGAGAAGATGTTTTTTTGCAACCAAGTATGCTAGTGAAGAAAGTTACTAATTAATTTTTTTTAAATCATATTTATAATTCTTAAAATATTTTAAAAATTATTTTTTGTAGCAACTTCAAAATCTTTTTTATAAAAAAATTACAAACACTCCAAACAAATATGTATAGTATACTCTCGATATTTTTTTTTGCAACTCCCACACATTATATATATATATATATATATGATGCAATTGAGACACTCAAATATTATATAAAAATTAGATATTAAACATATAAATACAATATGATATGTGTTTTCCTCACATATGTTATAGAACAATATGTATGTAATTCACCCAATAAAATAATAATGCCAAAACAACTACAAACAAAACAAACTAAATAAATCCATGTGGTAATAATCTGCAAACATTTAGATACTAAATGAGTTCCCCAACACCTAATAAAATGACTAACAACAATCGACCTCAAAGCCTCAAAGACAAATCCAACCCACCATCACCATTACCCAAAGTAAGTTCCAGATTCATAGAGCTTTCCTCCATAGCTATGACTGCCTTCTTGTTCCCTCTATGCTACTTCTTTCTATATTGCCTTGTCATCTCCTCAATCTCCTTCCTATGTGTAGTCTGGTAGCCTCCCAATGCCTGTAAGGTTGAATAAACCTTATTGCAATAAGAACAAACATGCCATGCAGTTGAATTTGATTGTGAAGAATATCCTTTCTGTTGATCAGATCTTCTCATTTTTTGAAGAAGATGAAAAAGAAGCAATGGAAGCTTGGAGTTTACAGTACTTATAGAAACATATGGAAGCTTGGAGGGAGAGAGAGAGAGAGAGAGAGAGAGTGTATATATTAGAGTTGGAAACTAAGTAAAGAGATTGTTAAATAAGGAAAAAAATGGAGAGAGGAATTAGAAGGAAATATTTGGAAAGGAATGGTGAGGAAATTCTGATTTATGATAGGGAGATGAACTTGGTCATTATATGCATGTATGGCTGCATTGAAGGCCTATGGTGTAATAATTTTTTCTTAAGGAGAGTAGAGTGATTTTTAATATTTGAATTAATTTGGAATGTGCATTGCTTCTTTTCTTTGAATTTGATTTATTATTATTGAAATAATGGGTGGAAGAAAAATAGTTGTCCAGTGCAAAATTGGCAATTTATATATGTTGAGTGTTAAATTGAGTAACCATGAATTAATGGAAAGGAATGTATGAAACCTATCAAAATTTTGTAGAAGCGAGTGTTTTAATAAAGGTACTAATTAAAGACTATTGTGATTCATGTGAAGCCTACTACAAAAAAATAAAAGGAATGATAATTTAGGTTTTCTTTGGGATAGGTTATTTATTGTTTTTTAAAGTAGTTTTCTAGAATAAAAATTTCAAATTTAAAAATTTTTTATTAAATTTTTTTTTAGAAAGCAGTAATAAAGCTATCCCAAACGAAACCTTAATGAATAGCTTTAAAATCTTTGTTATTTTAAAAACTAGCGTCATTCTACTTTTATTCATCAAAATCTCATTCAAATATTGAAATTTATGATAGATTTCCAACTCAATTTTTTAGTAAAATTCCAAATGATTTAATGTAGGTGTGTACTCGTTAAATGGTTGTATTTGGTATAATAGTTATTTAAATTGACAATTTGATATAATCAAATTTCCCTTGAAGATTATGATTTGGTTAGATTTGGGTTTAAGGATTCATGTTGGAATAATCCTTAATAAGTAATTACCCCTTCAACAGAAAGAAGAAGGGAGAGAACTATTGATTACTAAATTTGTTGGTTTCATCTCAGAGATAATTACAATTAATAATAATTTTTTATGGCTCTTGCGACTGATCGCTTCTTGTTACAAATTTTGTATTAAGGGGTTTCTCTAAAAGTAAGTGCAATATTTTGGTGAATATTAAAAATCTCAATTGTAAAAATTTTAGAATTTGCTGATCTTAATTTTGTACTTGATATATCATAAAAAATTTATCTTGGCTGTCACGATTCTCTAGGCAAAATTGAGTTGGAAACTTTCAAAATTAAATTCGTATCCATATGAACTATGATTTTAGCAAACTTATAGTCGAACTGAACTTCTCGAAAAGAAGAACCTAACGTCATCAAATTTGACTCAATCCGAGCCCAAATGGGACCAAATCAAAGATCGGATGAGCATTTGGACGGTTCAAACTATAAAATGGATAACCAAATGGTTTTTAAATGTGACATGCTTATAGTCGAATCGAGCGGCTCGACGAGACAAATCTAACGAGCCCATGAACGTCAAATTTTGATATCATTAAGACATTCAAATACCCAATAAACGGTCCACAATCAAGTGGATCAATATCAGTCGTCCATTCAAACCACTCCCAACATACCCTTGATCTCCCTCCTATTTACTGACTATGCTACTCCCCAAACACTATAAATAAATCTCACATTCTTCATTGTGGGGGGAGGTTCCAAGTAAGGAAGAGAGAGAAACTAGAGTTCTCATGCCACCGGACTCCTCCTCGACCATCATTGGACCACTAACCATCGCTAGACTATTACTATGCTTTTGCGTGTCCACCAACTAATGCCAGACTTCCACCCAACCACCAACTATGGTCTTTTTGACCTTCAATTCGTCACTAGACAATGGTCTTTCTAACCACTGTCCCCGACTATAGTCCTTCCGACCTCCATCACCAGACAACGATCTTTCTAACCACCATCACCCATCGACTATTGCTCTTCTAACCTTCGTTGCCCACCGACTACATTCCTTCCGACCTCCATCACTAGATAACTATTTTTTTGACCACTACAGTCCTTCCGACTTCCACCAAACTACGGTCATTCCAACCTCTATCACCAGATAACGGTAATTTTGACCACTATCACCCATCATTTATAGTCTTTCTAACCTCTATCACCCACCGACTACGATCTTTCCAACCTCCTTTTCTAGACATCGATCTTTCTAATCACTATCGCTTGCCGACTACGACCCTTTTGACCTCTATCACCATATAACAATCTTCCTGATAATCATTGCCTGCCA